CCCATTCCCCTCCACCCAGGGCACCCATCCCCCCCTCGGTGAACCCCCCTGTACTTCCGAGTGGTTCCGAGCTAAACCGAACGAACGTGTTAATGTGCCGGTTACCGATGTACCCCGGGACAGCACCAGTACCTGTCCTGTTTTTACCTGTTGGCGTGTTCCACCGATCGCATCCCCAGGTCGACCGATCCGCCAATACATTACAAATTTCACATCCAAAATTCACCCACCACCCCACAAATCTCCCCACCCCCCCACCAATCGCCGTAAATAAAAAAAAAAGAAAGAAAAAAAAAAAGTGATAACCCGATATCGAAAGAGATCGCATTGAACTCTCACATTATATTCTACATGTCCACGTCGTCAAGTTCATGCCCCCGGAATGACTCGGTACGGAGAATTAAAGTGAAAATCGTTATTCAGTGAGAGAAATCGGTTAATACGTGGGTTATCAATGATTTTAATGGTGATTTGAACAAGTGGATATCGATAGTGAACAATTATTTATTAATTATATCGAGGAATACAGTCCACAAGGTATGCAGCTTTTTTTTTTTCTTTTCTCTCTTCTATTTTATGAGTTTGCATGACGATTTTTCGCTCACTGCAATTTTTCATGACTATCTTACGATGCGAATTATCCGGCGAATTGTCAGAGGTGATTCAATTGTCAATGGAGATTATCTTGTTTGTAAACAAGTTAATTAGGTGATTGATTACGTACGAGTTATTTTATTGTGGAAATCAGTCAGGGGGTATGATTACCGATGGAAGCCAGCGCGAAGCATTTTTATCATTGCCACCTGTTTTTTTTTTTTTTTAGAATTTTCGCGTGACTGGTACACCAAAATTTGGGGTTTTGAAAAATATATTTGAATCCTCGAGTGATCCAATTGATTTTTAAATATTTAATACATGATATATTCATGTTTTCAAAATTTTTAAATGGCATTTCAATTTAAAAAATTCATTTTTTGAAAAAAATATATGTAACAACATTTTAGATAGACCCAATTTATATTGAATCAATTCCACAGAATATAATATATTATAATATAGATATCAATTTCTAAAAGTTTATAAATAAAAAATAGTATGCAATGCTCTTTGTTTATTGAATTAGAATTGAACGGTGAAAATATTGATGTATATAATTTAATATATTTTATTCGTTTCTGTCTATCGAGTGATTTAGTAATTAAATGGAATTTCAAATTGGACCGTTAATATTATCATATTTTAGGAAGACCAACGGTCCAGGAATTCCAGAGAATAATTTTTCAATTCCAATGATTTTTACATTCCCCCAAAAAAAAGTGAAACCAATTTTATTCTCTCTTCCTAAAATCCAAATTAAAATTTCTAATAAAAAAGATTGAATTAAAAAAAAATCACCATCTCTTGGCTATCAATTCCCCAATCATAAAAAAAATCATAAAAACACTATTAATTATTTTAAAAATCACAAAAACTCATTACTCCCCCTCATTACCCATCAATTTTAATCAATAAATTTCGTAAAACAATTCAACACTTGGAAAATATACCGAACAAATGAAAAATGTAAATTCCCTTCCGCATGATTATTTCAACAGCAATAAAAAAAAAAAAACAATGACAGACATTGCAATAAAAATATTATCATAAAGATACCACCGGGAAAAAACCAAAAGTAAAATTTAAACAAATAAAAACCTAAAGATTTAATTTTTCCACGTCAAATAAATTTTTCAAATAATTTCCTCCATCTTCACATATCAATATATATATTAAATATATCTCCTCATATATTATATTATATAATATACATATAACATGCATTAAATCCAAAATATATACATAATATATATATATTTTTATTTAAAATGAATGGTATATAAATATTTATTATAGATATGTGCAATATATTAATTATTATTATTATTGAATTTGTGAAAGAAATAAAATTAAAAAAAAATATATCACATATATGAGGCCATATACTCAATACATCCATATGACACATATGTTTTCAACTTTTTGGCGTTACATTATTTCCCATGGGGGCACCGTTCCAGACAGGTAGATGACACCTGCCAGTTTTTCTCGTTTTCATTTTTTTTTTTT